ATATTTACAACAGCAGCGAAAATTTCCGATTTTAATAACGCTAATGACATGCTACAGATAACTACATATATTGCAAAATTGTGTTCTCCAATAATTACATATTGAATTTGAAAAGTGTAGGAAGTAAAATGATGAGTAGTTTTCAAGGGCAAAAAGTTTTCGAACGACGACGGCGTTTGACAATCCGTCAATCGTCAGGAGTTCGAAAAACGGCTTTTCGCCCTCGTATCGAACAACCTTTTTATTCGAATGAAACACGAATTATTAGGTATAATAAATAAAAATTGCCAAAAATAAAAAGCGTCAACTTCATATTTCAAATTTGATGTTAATGACATTTTTGAAATTGTCGTGTTTTGACGTTTGTAATTTTTCAAAAGCGTAGTTTTGTAAGCATATGCTAGTCAAACAATGAGTGTTGACAATTCAAGTGTTGCTTTCACGGTATGGTGTTTATATAAGATGCATATTTTGTTGTCGATACGGCTACGTTATTTATTAAAAAAGCATATCGGTTACTTTTTAATGAAAATACTTAAAAAAATATAATGACAGTGACAGGTTCAATTTGTCACATTTACTTATGCGCACATGTGCGTAAAAGTCCGTGCGTAAAAGTAAAACAAATGAACAGTTAAGAAAAGTGCTTCTTTATGATCATCGCTTCCGATCGAAAAATAGCACTTTTAGATTCATTCGAATAAAAAATAACTTTTTACCCGTTTATTTATCTAAATCTGCACATATATATGCAAGACAATGACAAGGTACAATTTAAAAATACATTTAAGTTGCAGACATAAAAACGTAACAGCAAACAAAATTAGAATGTAAATATATAAAATAAAACATTTTCAAATGAAAAAAATTTAACAACACTTAATGCTGAATAAAAGTTTGCAAATTGTTCGTCACAAAAGACGATCAATTAACAGTCTCAGGAAGTTGTGGGTTTAGAAATTACCGATTTTCTGGCCCGCTTAAGGGAGGATACTCAGATCCTTAAGCGCCAAAGGATGGATGAAAAACGGGGATAAAATAGTTCACAATTCATCAAACAATAGCGAACTTTTCCCAAATAAGCGCGAAATACCAATTCGGTTAGTCAAATGGGACTTGTATACAAATTAGGGAACCACGTATTATGTAATTAAATGTAATATGCATGTAAATTAAATTTATTTCTAACCAAGAAGGCCGCCAAAAAATTGCGCCCTCTTAAATTACTAATTGAGTGTTCATTGTTATATTAAATACAGGGTGTTTCTGAATAAAATGTTCCAAAGTTGAGATTCCATAGACCATAATCAGATTGATAATTTTACTTTTAACCACAGCATGCGCACATAAGTACTTAAGATTATACCGAATTTAATTACATAAATTTTTTTGTTATTTATTGAATTTACTATTATGCATTACGCTTTACCACTATGCTCTATCGGAATATCCTACATTTTGTAATGGATTATTTGTTGGACACAAGAAGTACGGCGGACTCATATTAACTGTTTATTAAGAAAACTTTCTGAAGACTTTTCTGAGTTACGAGTGTAATCTAAAATTTAGGTACTTATTTCTGAAACACCCTGTATAATAATTATTAATATTAATGCAAATTTCCGTTTTTATATACATACGTAATCCAAGTAATTATTTTTTACGTGGACGTTTTTAAGCCAATGTTGTTGTCAAGCCATCTGTTACGCTAGATTTTATTATTTTATTTTTGTTATTGTTGGACTTAAATATTGCAGTAAAAATTGACATTATAAAGATTAGATGTACATACTCAGTATTTCTTTCCACAAAAAATTTACCACAAATATGTAAAACTGTTGAATAAGAAATGAATGTTCTGATGGAAATCTGATTTTAGTTTCGTTAAAAATTTTACTTTATATCTAGTCTAATTAGCATTACTTAAAATCATTAAAAAAATCGTTATTGGCAATACAAGAAGACATTTAGTGTTTTTAGTTTCTTCTACTCTCTACTACTAGAGTTAGTTAATTTTCCTTATATGCAGGCAAAATAACTATTTGAAACTGCCGCCACGAAGCGGCAAGTGTTGAAACATCAACCGTACCATTATGCCGTGTGCTGCGGCTGTCCGCTTGTCATGGAAATTATCATTTGAAATTACATTATGCAGAAACCGAATGATTACAACTTTTGTGGCTTAGACAACACTAGTACTGAACTACTCATTTGTTCCCATGGGAGCACTGCTGTCTGCATTTAACCCAGTGTTCCATGCATCCGTTTATACGATGGTACGATGTTACGAAAGTGTTTCTATTGGTTGGAGATCTGTCAATCCGTCCGCCGTCGTACGAATTGACAAATCTCCAACCAATTGAAACACTTTCGTATCATTGTACCATCGTATAAACGGATACATGGGACACGGGCTTCAAGCTGTGTCCTCACCGGGTCGACACTATCTATCGACTCTGTCTATCGACATTGTCAATCAGCAAGCGATAAAACTACATCTGTCCACCCCAGAGTCGACAAATGTTTGTCGATCAGTCAAAATGAACATGTCTGACGAAGATGACGAAATAGTTGCTTGTGCCACATATTATTATCGCGACTAAAAAACGAAAAATTGCACGCAAAAAAGATTTTGGGTTCGACCAACTCTTCAAAGTAGAACTAGATACAACGCTAGTAATTTGATAGACAGTTAAAAAAAGATGACGTCAATATATTGAGCCTTGAATACAGGTGTAACGGTGGTTTGGAATTTTTTTTCTGATGTCTGAAGGTGAATTTGAATATTTTATGCAAGAAATCGGGCCAAAAATTTGTAAAGAAGACACCAATTATGTTCTCTTGCAAACTTAACTCAATTCTTGCAAATTGAGTTTGAAGATTTCTAATTAATTAGACGTTAAATTCTTTATAAATTTCCATAAGGGCATAACTGCCTCAAGATTGTGTTCTTATGGTTTTGTCTGTGTCGACTCGTTGAGGGCGCAGCTTTATACTATTGGCTAACTTCGATCAACTAAATTGAGAAAGCGAAAATCATTCGCAGACACTTCATTTTCGAAAAAACCTAACGATATATCACTGAAATCGTATTAAAATGCTCTATTCAAATTAAATAAAAAGGCATAATAAAATATGGTTGTCATTTTTAAAAACTGAAATGTGTGTCACATGTTACAAATGACAGTGCATTTGTCAATGTCCCATGTGCAACGTCCCATGGCATTTTTCTGTCAGATTAATATTGACGGAACTCGGAGTCATTTAAACATCTGCCATAAATCACATATCTCCTGACAGCTGTCACATTTTAGAAAAATTAAATTAGTATCAACTAGAACATTAAAAACTACTTTAACCTTCGTTGTATCTGCTGTAGTTCCTAAGATTCCTGTACTAGTCATCGAAAAAAATTCCTTCAGTATGTCACTACAACTATACATTTTAGTTTTATTTATGTTAAACATGTGCAATTATAGTTCTCTTGCATCAATGATGCAAATTTTTACTATTAACGTAGTTTTCTGCTCATCTGAAAACAATAAAACATTTGTTTCAGGTTATTTTGTACTCTACTTTCTCAAAGTGCAAATAAGGACGGAGAATAAGAAAGACGATAATACCAAGGCCAGTGCTCTTAAAATCGCTTTATATAAGGAATTTTGTAATAGTATTGAGAAAAAATTGGACCAATGTCTTTATGACGATTTATACGCATGCCATATGGTGGACACCAAGCTCATGATGTGGATTGTGCCAGACCTTTATCGAGATTTCAAACAGCATATGGTTAACAATGCACAGACTCTAAAAGTGATCATTTCCGCTATAGATGCCAAACAATTACAGACTTTGGTTGGAAAGGTATTTTGTATTTTTACACCTTTATATATTGTATTCAGTTCACATGACGCTTAAGGCGCCAGAAAAACTACTCAGTAATACGAGAACCTAATGTCTTCTGAAGAGGCCAGAATGTGCATGGAATAGTTGGCTGCTTACATCTCACTTCACTAAGATTTTATTTGTTTGTTATACGAATTAAAACTGCCAATCTTAACGATATTTGTGATTTAAGCAAATTTCTTGCTTGAGGTTTACATTCAACGTCCTCCTGACTGTTAATTTTCAATTTGCAGGTATTGCAAGGACACCTGGTCATGTTTAAGACTGAAAATCTGCATAGTCTTCTTAAGGCTACTCTCTGTTGGGAATCGATTGAACAGTTTTTCTTTTGGCAACTGATCAACGCGCATGATTTCAACATCGACACTGTATTGCCTCTTATTACGGAACTTGATTATGATCTACATCCCGAGGCGCTCACGGCCATAATGTTGATGCTGAAACAGGAGAAACCGAACGCGGACTACATTAAATGTCTTTTTTCAAGGGATATCTGTGATAATGGTGATTTGTTTATCTTTACCGTGATAAAGTACTGGTGCGACGAGTACATTGACAAGGTGGCTGAGTTAATATCTGCACTTTTGAGTACGAGGTATCCGTCAACATCACCGAACAAAAGGAAAAGAACTAACGCAGGTACTGTGTCTTTAAATGTGTAAATATTGGGCGCGACTCAAGTTGTAAATAGTGAGGGTTTGTAATTGTTTACCATCTTACTTTACTTAGTTTACTCTTATTATTTTTACTAGAATATGAGGTGCTTTATTAGACCAAGCTGTAGAGCATTTTTGGTTGACATAAAGACTAGTAGCAAATCAATTGTGCGATGATATAAATGATAAGGAGTAGATGATTAGGTGTGTTTTCCACTCGCATCCATCGGTCCATTTGTTAATTATTAACAATTTATTGCAAAAAACGCGATTTTTGTGGTTTTTGCTTATAACTTTGAAACTAATGGATCAATCGGAATGCCCCAACGAGATGGTTTGTAGAGAATAAAAATATCTACAAAATGAGAGGTCAAACGCCTCAAACGATAATTACGTTTTTTCGTAATTCTTTGAGGAAATTTCGGGAAAACCGGAAACTTGGGAGTTTTTTCCAAAATTCACATCCATAATTTTTTGCGCTAGAGAGCAAAATTTTCAGAAAAAGTAGGGATTATGATGAAGGAAGGATGATGAAGTAGGGATGAGGGTTCTATAAATCGCGATTCAAAGTTTCAGTGCGTCATTTTCCGGCAGGCCTGTACACGTTACCGTAAGTCCGATTATAATTTCAAAAAAAGTTCTGAAAAGTTAATATCGTATACTACAAAACATACATTTCAGTTTTTTGATGAGATTCCGAAAACCGTCGGAAATTTTGCGAAAATCGGCCGCAAGCACTGAAATCCGCCATTCGCTGTAATGACTAGGCATTTAGCGTATTGCCGGCTACTATCGAACTGCGATATCGTTCCTTACTTTACGCCAGCTCAAAAAATGACGGAGCTATGAATTTTCGAAAAAACTCCCAATTTTCCGGTTTTTTTCTAAATTATTCAGAAATTTTTAGGGCATTCCGATTGCTCCATTAGTTTCAAAACCAAACAAGTTTTTGCAATAAATTGTTAATAACTAACATAGGGACCGGAAACGCGGGTAAAAAACACATAGCCATTCAACTGCTCATTATCTTTTAAATCATCGGATAATTGGTTTGCTTCTAGTCTTTATGTCAAGCAAAAATGCTCTACAACTTGGCCTATTGCACTCGCCGGCAAACATTTCTTGCATTTTTTCTGGTTCTTTTTATGCTGCCAACTGTTCACTCATATTAACATAAATCACCAGCATATCCATATTTGCTTGTTTTCGTTTTTGATCGAAATAAACGCGAATCACAATAATTCCCTTGGAAATATGCTTGTAACCTCGAAAGAAAACAAAACAAGCAAATGTTAGGATTTTTTCGTATAGTGATTAGTTGGTACGCTTGATCGATTTGCCTAAATGTGAGGTTTAACGTTGCACATTGTAAAGCCCAGTACTAAAATTATAGATGCAAGGAAGTTGCCGGCAATAAAATTTTCGGCTGAAAAACGCCCTTTGTATCTATCCCTATTCACAGAAATTGGATTTTTAATGGCTAATGAGCGATTCTGTATATTTCATATCTAATAGATGTGTAACTATTTGTGAAAATGCACTATTTTCAAATAATAGTACTTAGAGTGTAATTTATTTAATTCGCATTATGCAGTTTCTCGTTAATTAAATTAAGCTTGCTATGTGAAATGCACCCCGAACCAAATATATTACACTATTTGGTGGCATTTACAGACTAACTATCTAAAATATGTCCGATGATCTACTTTCCTTTTGTGATAGGATGGTGTCACTATTCGACATCGCTATCAAGTAAAAAAGCGTTTATTGGTGGTTTTTGAAGCAATTCAATAATTAACTAAAATCTTAAATTTCTCATAGTTGCATTTTGCAAACTGTAGAAATAACTTGTAACTACTGTTATGCTTTGTTCGTTGGTGCCTCGAGTGTACGAAGGTAAGATTCTATGCAAGGGCTATTGAACATTATTCTATTTTTGCCTAATATTCATTGTATTTATAAGTCCATAAGAATATACTTGCAGTAAGTCAATCTATAAAATTAAGCTTCTACTAATAGGCTCTAACGTGACGGAACTTAGATAACTATTGGAATCGCTCGGGAATGGTATACCTGTTAAAAATATCGAGGTGCGCCAGCTTGAAAAGGTGTGCTATTTGCATAAACAACGAAAGCGTGAAAAAATGCTCGAAAGTGCAAAAAAGTAGTTAAAAATTTAGAGAAAAGTACTTGACTTTAATACAAATCGAGAGCCGCAGGGCCGATTAAAATCGGACGGACAGTTTTTTTCATAATGCAATAGGCATGATGACAGATTTTGATATACCCTTGTTTAACGTAGATAGACGTCTGCTATTTCCGAAAAAAAAAACGTTATTTCCGCAATAAATTTAATGTTGACTGGAATTATCGCATTTTGATCTTTCTATTTTGCATTAAGCGCAAAAACGCTCGTTGGTGTTTGTGACGTCACTACCTCTGTGAGAGTGGGAGATTTACTTCCACGGACGATGACGCCACGGCCTTCGAAACGCTCGAATTGGTGTGGATCAAGATGAAGATACATTAATAAAGGGGCCCTTTTTAGAATCTTTTCAACAGATATTTTCCTGTAAAAGCATTTATTCTTTGACTCTTTTATACTGTCATCATGGTATAGTGTTAAATAACCTGCCTGAACAAAGACCTTTTTTATGTTGTGCCAGACTCAAAGTTCTAAATATTTTTTGCGCCTTTACACCTTCTTGGACTCTTAAACTATCATAACAGGGTGCCCCGTAAGCACATGACCAAAAGGGTACCGCGATATTCTTTGTATCAAGAGAAGACGATCTGACCTAACTTTTATTAACATTTATCTTTTTTGAAATATCGGGAGAATTGTACTATGTATTTTGGTGAAACTCGCTGTGAATTTGTTCTTATGTAAGACTCATATTTTGATGGAACAATCGAGTTCAGCTGTTTTGGATAAGTCGTGAATTCTTGATTGTCGTGGTACAAAACCGACCACAGTTTTTTGTTTGGTGGATGGAATCTACTCTTCCCTTTTTTTTGTTGGTTGATGCACTAATCATTTATTCACAATTTTGTGCTCTGTAAAATCCCGTAGCATTCATAGTTTTTGCGCAAAAAAAATATGTCTGTTTTCTTGCCACTTAACAATGTTAGACATTAACTGCAACCTATCACCTGTCGCACACTTTATTAATTTATCTGCTCAACAACTGAATAAAGATTATGTTGTGACCACGTGTAGGAGTTGTAGCGGTTGAAAATGCCAGTAGTGCTTACATATACATCGTCTGTCCAAATACAATTGAACGAAAAATTGCGCACTTGGCTACAGTTTTCCAGGCTTAGCGCATTTGGCTACAGTTATCATTCCAGCAAATAGCACACTTTCAAGCGCCCCTCGATATTTTCATTATGTTCATTCCCGAGCGATTCCAATAGTTATCTAAGTAACATCACGTTAGAGCCATGCCAATCTGTAGACCTCCTGGCCTATAACCAGGACATTATTTTACAATGTTTGCTTTTATTGTAACTCGAATTAATATTTTCGTGCTTTGTATTGAAAATATCGTCAAATATTATATGAAACTGACTGATTCTTGATATTTTTTCTATTATGTTAAAGGTAATAAAGTATTAAGTACCACAGTTCCAAGCGCGGACCAGGTCTTAGGACATTTAGAAAAATTAAGAATAATCTGTGAAAAACATGACTGCATGGCGATATACACTTTAGATTCCATGCAGAGGGCTCTGAGTGTGGCTCAAAGCAATAGGTAAGATCATTGTTTTGTAAAATGTTTGTTTAGCTGATTTCTTGTGAAACTGTCTGATTTGTTGGGTTTTTAGAGGAGTGTTTTTTAATCTTTTTATTTGCCTTTAACGCTCTGAAACATATATTTTACAATTTTTTAAATAGATCCTTGCACTATCAACGGCAAATATTTGCCTTCCAAAACAGTTGGATTTATAAATACGTATGCATTTTGTGTGATTATTGTGGTAGATTCTTTTTCTCTTGGTTTCTGAGAGCTTCTTGACTATTTTTTGTTGCCTAATTCTTAGTTCCATCTAAAATAAGACAGTTTGTGTACTACATTTCACTTTTTAAATATTCAGTTGATTTAATTTTTCATCGACATCATCTCTCATATTTGAACTGATCTTTAAAATAAGGTTTTCAATTATGTCTACATAACTATGAAATACTAGTGTATCAATTTACAATTTTTCTGCAACGAAATACTATTATTTCATTCGTTTTATCAATTGTGGTTCAATCGGTCACATTACATCGCACCTAAACTTACCAATGGTAGATCATTAGCATGTTAAATCATTGGTCAGATAACTTTCATATTTGTGAAATTGTTTAATTATTTTAGTAACGATAGCCAAAGAAAGCTGTTTGGAGAATTATTTGCATTAATGGAAGAGGAAGAAGAAATAAGCGCAACGAAGAGTAGTCGGTTGCAGGGCAGAGGACGAAAGCCGGCATCTTCTAGTAAACCTCCCGTTGCAACTGTAAGTTCCAGTAAAAGACAGGCAGTCAGAGATCTGACCGACAGCTCAGACGACAGTAGCGAGGTTGGTATAAACTACTATCACAGATAATATAGGATCATACAGCAAAGGCACTTACACCGTTAACGGCAACACCGTGTAGGCCAATGCGAATTTTCATATAGTAAAAAATACAAAGGCCCGGTTCCACCAAGAGTGATTAAATTCTGGGTTAACTAATCACAATCATTTTTTAATCACCACTTTAATCATGATTAAATTGTCATGCGTTCCACAACAAACATTTGAACTTCGGTTAGATAATCATCAGTTTCATCGGGTAAGATCGTATTTCCTTTGTATCCACGGTTCTGATTGGTTCAAACAACTGACAGATCAACTGAAATCATTTTCCCTCAAAATAGTAATCACATGTCGCTTGAACATTGATAGAGAAATATCCTTTTCTATTACGAAATACTTCTGCGTTGTCTCCCCCCAAAGGATTGTACTTTAATGTGAGTACAATCCAACACTTCAAAAAAATCCATTTAATTAACATGTGGCAATTTTACTATTATTCATTTATCATAACTTTCTGTAGTAAGTTGCAGGCCTATTTTCAGCAGTAATGTTTGCACAGTGTTTTTCGATGAGCGAAATTGCGTAAAAAAACTCAAGGTGTCCATGATTTCAAAATAATTGGCTCGCGATTTAAATATTCGGGGTCTTCTCCTCATCAGACAATAATGACGTAACCTCAAATTTACTGTCAAAATGGCGAAAACGCGATTTTCCAGTATTATTTTTTTCTCGCGCATTTCGTGTTGATGTGGCGTATTGACGTTGGTTGCTGACGATGTGACTTTCGTGTTCCGAGCAGTTGATTGATATCACTGGTCTGCATAAAAATATTTTTCCTCATTGTTTTCACGCATGATAACATCATATTTGGTGCTCTAAACACGAAATTTAACATGCAAATAAATATAGCACATAGATTTTAAATATAATGTCCATTTAATAAAAAACAATTTTATCAAAGTAATATAATTACCAAAAAGTGAAAAAGGGCTACGGTCTAAGTTTACAGCGAAAAATGCTATTTTTACAGTCACAAGTGTTAAAAATATCAGTATTGTTATCTCAGTATGGTAGTATAATTCAAATTATTTTGTAGTTTTTTTCTTTTATTCGAATCGACCAACAAAAATCAGCAAGCATTGCTTCTCACCATTTTCCATTGTAGCGTCTTTCAATATAGATAATATCCTGATGAAATATTTCACCATGTTCTGATCATTTATATCATGATATAAATTTTCACTTTGTAATGTTTGTCGCTCGCGCGACTATCCCACTCACATAAAAAACAGCAAAACTTGGTGTATCTTCCTTGCAATCCAGTTATTATAGCGACAACTTTTAAGTCAGCACAAATATTCCATAGGAATTGGGAATATTTAATTTTTTCAAGTAATACCTCCAGATTTGCATAATTTTCGTTCATGTTTGTTGCATGTGCTAGAGGCACTGATGGGTATTTATTTCCGTTGTGAAGTAAAGCGGCTTTCAGACTAATCTTCGACGCATCAATAAAAAGTCTTCATTCATGAGAACTTTCTGGAAAACTCAGTTCTTCAAGAAGCCCCGCAGCATTATTACAATATGCTAAATCATTTTCTTTGGAAGAGTAACTCGTAAAATCTTCTTGTCTCGTGCGAAAATATGACACTCTCGTACTTTTATCCACCAAATTCCACTGTTTCAATCTTGATCCGAGTAACTGAGCCTTAGATTTTGATAGCCCCAAGTCTCTAACGAGGTCATTTAATTCAGGTTGTTTAAGAAAATAAGGTTCTTTTGATGGGCTTGAAGATCCAGATAAAGTGTATGATGGTGAAGATGTACAGGTAGAACTGAAACTCGATTGAGGTTGTAGTCCAGTATTTTCATTTTCTGTCTTCTCGCTATTTTTTTGAGATACTGGAGGTAAACTGCCTTCACCACGAGGAAGTGGTCTCTTTGCAGATGCGACGTTCGGATATACAATCTTGTTTTTATTTTTTTTTTTCGAGAATACTCGTGTTGATGTCATGCAGAAATAACAGTCATTTTCATGATGTTGAAGTTCACTCCAAAGCATTGGCATCGTAAACGGCATAGATTTGTGACTTCCTTCAAGCCAACCTCTCAACGTTCTGGAACAACTGTTACAGCAAATTTTTGGTAACCAACTTTTATCCCTCTGATCAATAAAAAATCCATAATAAAGCTGATAAGCTTTTTTAACAAGATCTGTTATCGCATTTCGCTGTGTTTTTAGAGTAAACTCACCACAAATGAAGCAAAAACTGTGAAACAAGTCTGTACAATTCTTACAAGTGCGCGGCATTTTATAACCGGAAACGGAATTTATTAAAAACATTTTTTTTAACTACTATTTTATATTTATTATCTCTGTTCATAGAAAAATTCATAAAGTACATATAAAACACTTAAAAATTTATATATTTAATACAAATTTTGTGCAAAACTTACCAAAGTATTTGATATAGAACGGAAACAATTAAGAGACAAGTTGTCAACTAACTGTTGTAAAGTAACAGTGAATACTACGCAGGCGCATATGTACTATCATATATATAATTTTCGGCACTTTGCTTATTTCTCTTACGACTAGCAAAAACCTATTTCGTATGTATATACATGATTTATAATGTTATCGCATGAAACGAATAAAAAAACGCAAAATTTTTGATATTTTGGAGAAAAATTCATATCGAAAAATCTAGACGTGATACAAAAAATTGGCATTCGGGAACAGATTCAGCGCATCAAAATATTTATATTTATGTCATAATTTTTTGAGGGAGGTTTTTGCTGCAGACTAGTGTATTTTTGCAAAATTGGGAATTATTTTTACTTGAATTTTGCATTATGTGGATTTTTCATTCCTGTCTGCCGCCCGAATATATTTTTTTGAGCGTAAGGCACTAGACGCCTCAGCAGCATTGCTCAACAGTTTTCATCACCCATGCTGATAACGCACCTCCCGTGTCTAGGATGATTATTTCCCGTAATTATGCAAAGCTCTGCGGCTCATAATAGTATCAATACATTTCAGTATAAACGGGGCATCTTTGAAAGTTTCCTTAATACGACTCTGTTATGGCTGATAATGAACATTCACTTTTCTATAATGCCGGGTCCAGACCAAATGCGTCGCGAAAATATCATGGGTAGACGTGGTACGTTGTACCAGGAACTAACGCGACGAGCTTACGGTGTATCCAAATCTCAAGTATGGACGTCGCTTTTCATTGTTTGTCGGTTTTTCGACGGCGGATAAAAGTAAATCGTTACACAGCGGTGACAAGTTTATCTTTTGATACTCCGTCTCTGTGCTAATTTAACATCCAACCATGCAGTGGGACGAGAAAGTCAGCTGGCCTTAATAAAATTTGATGAATCCCGTCCTAATCTTTAAAACCAAAACGATCCAAACTGTTATAAAAAAAAATAAAAATTACATTAAAAAAGCATGACTGGAAATACCCACTGCATAATATTGCACAACATGCTACTACTTCGTTCGACAATACTTTTCCAGACATACAAAATCCAGCCACACTAAAAACATCCAGGTTTGAGGAAATACCTGCATTCTGCCGTAGGGTTCGCATCGCGCTTTCAAAGCGGTCGCGTTACGATCCCGTTGTAATCTCGGTAGGTCTGGATGCACCATAATAAGCATCCGCTATTCTTATTGGCGGCTAAACGTAGGAATACGATCCCATTAATGCGCATGCGTTAAGCTGAGTGCTTAAGGGCCGTTTGCACCGTTTTATATTAAAACCAACCTTAAAAATTAAGCTCGGCTTTAAAGTAAACGGCTTGCACCGTACCAATCTGTTGTTGGCTTTGTTAAGCCGGAGTCAAGCAGATCTATTTGCCATATGTGGAATTATGACCGTTTGAGGCCATGATACAATCAATACATGTATTCATTGTATTTATCTTAACATTAGAACTTTGGCGATTGAGAATATCGATCGAGAGATTAACCTCAGTTTAGAACACGTTTAAGACAAGGTTCCTAAATTGTACAATTTAGAAACCTTTCGTTTAGAGTGTTTCCCAACCCAACGGTGATATTTTAAATACATCTGTTTTAACCAATTTTTATTTTATATAGGTATTTTAGATTTTTATCAAGAACTTTTTATAGGTATTGAAATTTATTATGTACTGACTAAATTTTTAACGCAAATTTTCGAAATTATTTGTTGTAGTGTAGTGTTGCGGTGATTTTGAAGATTATTTATGGTTTCATTTTGCAATTGACCAATATCAATTAAATAATCGAATTCATTTTTATTTGTGGTGGTTTTGAAGAACCCAAATATTTTTTTAAAAGTTAGTAGTTCCTCCAAGTCCTCCAATGGATTATTTATCTTATATATCGTCTTTGGAAATCCAAATTCGATTATCCCAAAGATATCTAGATCGTCTTCAAATATGTCAAAACAAGTTTTGATATCCATTGTGTTTGTCTTTTGATTGTTATCGTAATTTTCAATTTTGTTAACTATCGCCACATGTAGGTATGAGGAAGGAAAACGAAGGTTAGAATTTACGGCTTAACACCATAAGCGACCCAAAGTTGATGGCTTAATTTAAGCCGAGCTTTGAATGCTGTAGCCTGGTTTATAATGTGGTGCAAACCCATTTAATTTTAAAGCTGGGCTTAATGGCAAAGCCAAGCTTATTTACAACGGTGCAAACGGGCCTTAGAGTGAAGTGGACAATCTATCTCACTCTTAATCTATGCTGTTGGTGTTCATGTTTCATATTTAAAATTCTACCGTATTTGAAATCTATTATTATATATATGTCATTTAAGAAATTAAAATTTTATATATAATTTAACACAGAAACGTGTACCCAGTCAATGGTTGCATTAAAGGTGCTATGAAATGTACTCTTTCTGATCAACGAAACCCAAGCAAAAGCCATCAGTATAGTAACATTTATCAATAATATGAAAGTATTAGGAACTTGTTTATTTAATAGGCACTTTGAGAGTTGATGTTGAATGTGAAGGCAGAATTGCAGAAGAAACGCATCAATTTTGGAACGTCAATAGGCCTAATAATTAAAATAAAAAATAATTGACCTTTTGAACAAATATTTTGCTAAATTATGTATTTTTGTTCAGATTACAATTATTAAGTTTTAATAAATTTTACTTAAATGATAACATGGTAACAATATGCGCAACGATATAAACAAACAAAATTAAATTTAAATAACCATTCAAATGTTAACTTAGCAGCTGTTAAAATTGGTCACCTTGACACTCTTGGCATAATCGCAGTCTTTTAATGAAATTAAAATTTACAGACCGTAAAGTTTGCACTGCAGTTCTTATTTCGTTAGCAATATTAAATATTATTTCCTGAAGTTCTTCGATTGTATACATTTCTGTTGAATACACCGTATTTTTTAAATGGCTCCAGAAGTAAAAGTCAAGCTCGTTTAGATCGGGAGATCTAGGAGGCGAGTTTATAGGAGCTTCTTGACCTTTCCCAATCCAACGGCTTGGAAAGTTTTGATCAAGYCGAAACGATTTATTTTTTTGCGGGCAAAYTAGTGGTCTTAGGAAAAAAACAATAAGATAAAAAAGTTGATAAATAACTTGTAGTAATAAAAAAAATATTTTGATAAAAGTTTAGGTGCACACAAAAAAGTTAAAATTCTACCGTAGAATGGCGCTCAATTAGCTTATAAAAACAATAAAAACTAATATTTTTTGCCATTTTGAAGATCAAATATCTGAAAAATGAGACCTCAAATCTAAAAAATTGTCAGAAAGACCCCCCTCTAAAATGACTTGGAGAATACGCTGTTAAAATATTTTAACATATTTACGGAACACCCTGTATATATATTATATTATAAATTATTATATATCAAAAATTTCTGGCACCATCACCACCTACAAGGAATGCATCTAGTTACCAAACACCCTGTATGTAGTTTCTTTTTTAAATCATATTTCGCTTGTACCTTCTTTCTCTAAATACAATGTCCGATTACCTAGACTGGAAAGCTGTCAGAAAGATCCTACCCTTCAGTAATCGATTGAATCATAAATACGCTTTTCTTCATATGATAAGCGTATGAATATTCTGTAAACCAGTATAAATTATTAGTGCAGTTTGGTTGAATTTGAATACTGGATTGCATGTTATATATTACGATGTCATAATTTGTAATCACTGTTTCAGGAAGAAGAAATTGTTAAACCAAAACAGGCGAAGAAGAGGAAAAAAATATTGTCCGAAAGCGATTGACAGATTGAATCATTGAAATTTCAGCCCATTTTCGGGCTAGTGACTTTCGATTGTCATATCAATGAAAATAATACGCTTATTATAAGACAAAGGAGGAATGCTGTGTTATCGTTCTGGAAGAAGTGACGCCGCCAATATAAAATCACACCACTGCCATTCCCAGCTCTTAAGGGAGGATCTATTGTTTTCGAGCAGTCGTACTTGGCCAACTATGTTCCATTTATCTAGTATCTTAATTATTGATTTGCTAATATTTAAGGACGTGAGTAATGGGTTATTTTGCGAACAACGGTTTTTAATTGCAGGTGACTTCTAAATGAAATGTTTTTTTGTTTCACGTGCCCTACTCAATGTTTTCTTATAATTGGCTTAAAACAAAATCAAAATGCACTTTAATACGTAACACTTTTGATTTAATCTAAGTGTATCTACACACAAATGCTGTCCAAAATGGTAAACCATACCTACTCATGCAGTGAAATGATTAATTAAGTTTCTAGTACAAAATAATGTTGATTTTTGTTAGGTCGACAAACTGTTAACAAATATGATCTTCAATCTTTGAAGGCAACATATATAAATTATTTAGAAAAGAGAATAAATTTCAAATAACAAATATCAAATAACCATTTTATAACCAACTACAAGCCTTTTATTATTACTTCAGCTACATGCCAATTTGTCTTCGGACCATAGACTGTGTTGACCACAACTTCTGTACGTGTATGAATGTTGACTCATTGTCTGGTTATCTCTGCAAATACGTCTAAAATATTTAAAGTTTAATCAGAGAAACACCCACAGTTAAGCATCATAAATATTTTTTTACGAACATAACTGTTGTACAGTGTAATTAATGTAATAAAATTAGGAAATTATCTCACATCCCGCGACAATTAAACACACGTATTAGTCGGTAACACTCACATTTTCGCTAATTCAGTCCAACCAAAGTAAAGGGGTTTCCAATAATAACGATATGTTTTTAAAATGAAATAAAATAGAATGTATTTACGATAGTCGCAAAACTGTTTTTATTTTACAGTACAAGTTATGCCATTTATGTTCTTGATAACATTTTATTATTCCCACTTGGGCGTCGATACAGGCGCGGATACGATTACTTTCTCCATTAAATCGCCGCTAATGTCGGCTATTCAATATTTACCGACTTGAAATATCCCCGCAACAAAAATCAGTGGAATTAATTCACTTCGTATTACGGTTCTGATAGCGTCCCAAGTCATATCTTAAGTATGAATGGATAACTGGTTTGGGCCTGTATTAAAAACCTATTTTATTCTCTAAACATTTCCGACGTTTCGACCCTTTTTCGAGTAACTCTCAAGGCTGTTTTTTATATGAAAAAGTCGTTCGTCGTTTACAAATAACGGCAGACATTAAACACAATTTTTCTTGGGTCAAGGTTTAGTTATAGTTAAGCCCGTGATTGTGTCGTTTGAAGCCCTCCAAATTTTTTGTTTTTTTCTTGTTTTATCTTAACCCTTTCAAGGCAGACTTCTTGAAAATGAAAAGTAATTGTGTATGTGAACTAAAAATTAGGCTTATTTGAGTCTTGGAAATTGGAAGTTTTCAAAACAATTTTTTTTGTCATTTGGACAAAGGCTCACTTCACAACTTGAACATTTCGTTCGATGTTGCTATGCTCTGGAACTGGACATTGCGCATCTTCTTGAATTTATGCGTTTTGGCATATGAGCAGCAATATCCCATTATTTTTCCGGGGGGATATTTGGGTTGAAATGACTAACAAGTTTTTGTCCACTTGGTCTACCTTTCGCGGCGATAAGAGACTAGAAAGAGAGAAGCGAGAAAGAGATGGAGCTAGGTGTGGCATAAGCGCAGTACCTAGACTTTTGTGAATATGCAGAGAGTGACAAAAAATTATGGTTTTTGTTAGTTTATGTCTAATTCTATTACTTATTTTATTGTTAGTTGCATTAATATGATGAATTCTTATTATAAAATTGTGTTTTAATATTAACCGTATTAACTGTAAAATATGACCATCTAAAGGAACTTGCTCCAAGCAATGTTCTGTCAAAGATGTAAATAACTCTTCTATATTTAGTTGTTCGATTTAAATTAATTCTAAAATTATGTTAGACGTAAAATTTTGATCCCCTATTTTTTTTATTAAGTAACATTGACAATTAAATAATATTGGTCAGCGAAGAATCACACACATTGCAATTAATAATTCTTACAAGTGTTCTATTCACAAATCCCGCAATACGCTGTGTAACATCATTTAAATATATACAATTAGTAACGTTGTAATTACAAATAAAACTCTCATTATATAATTTCTTCGGATTTCAACGTTTTGCTCTAGAGAATCCAAAGTGTTTTTCTTATAATTTACCATGTTGTTTAAAATCGATGTATTGCATTATTTCGCTATGTGCTAATAGACGTTAAAAGGAATTTTCAAACCGCTATGACGAATGTAAGAACTGTAAAATATATGTTTTTACCAAGTCATTAAAATACCTTGTGCACTCACCAAACATAAAATTAGGCCAAGAAATCCATTTTTTTTATTAGTATTTAAAATATTTTTGCCGTTAGGTATTTTTAAAGAACTTAAATTGTAGTTGACAAAATGAGCAACACTTTTTTTAAAGAAATTTTCGCTTCCATTAGAAAGGGGTCTTTTATATAACAGTTTACCTAAGGCATTTCGAGTGTTTAACAGCTCAAAAATGTTAATGTTTTTACAAAACACAACTGTCCCTTCACTTTGTTGAAATACTGTTATAAGTAAATCCTTGTCCCACTATTCTAAAGCATCTGCCACCCTTAGGCTAATGTTTGGACAGCAAGTTTTATTTTTTCCTTAGAGTATTGGATATACCGGGAGCGTATTCTTGTGGCACAGTGAAGGCCAGACTCATTTTGTAACTTAACTCCTCAAATAGTGCCCATTTAATTATTTTTCCCTCACTGTTTTGTTGATGACCCCAGTCACCCAACGCGTTTCGAACTAACTTTGCTTGAAAAATAAGGTTTAATATTTGGAAAAAACAAGTTAGCACTCAATAAGTTACACATAGCAATATTTGACGCGCATCCATCAAAAGTTAAACTCTTAATGGAAATTGGCACTTTCCATCTACAATTGTACCCCACCACCAGCACAATTTTAGCTTTTGGTAAAATATCACTTTCTTGTAAACCTGTTCGAAAGTTTATAAACCCAACATGTCTACTTCCTGTCCACTAAACATGCTCTCTAATAGTCATTTTATCAATAATCAAACCGGCCACTAATTTTTTAACACGAGAAGAATAGACCCGCCAATGCAAAGAAAAATGTTTTTGCCACAGCTAGCGCTATCCTTCTCGAACTTTATCTCTCCCACTGCGAAGGTACAGATTGTAGGGCACACCGGCCAGTCCATCTTAGTATAGTATTTAATATAGTTTGTCAATGACTCAGACGAATAATCCACCATCTAACTATCGACGCGCTAGATAACCTCAATCAATAGGGTGTTTTCATTTTTTTTATGTTGATATATAGAAAGTAGTTATCGCAAACATTACACTGATATAATTGTTTTGCAAAAGAAGTCACCATAATAATTTTAAAGCGAATTTAAATTCAAATCAGATATTTTCCGCCAAAAACGCAGAATCCGTATCGTCGGTTGCCTATGCCGATTGTGACGTAGCAGGTCATCAACAAAGTGTCTCGTGTTTATTTTGTTGTTTTCGCAGCTTTGTTTTATTATTTAAGCTATTGTGATTATCATTCATTTATTAATTATTAATCTTGCATAATGGAAAATGGAGACATGTATGGATCACAAAATAAGTGGTGTTTTGTGCCAGAATGCAGGAATACCTCAATAAGTGCTCCAAACAAACTCTTTCTAACCGTTCCCCATGATTATGCACGTAAATTTTTATGGTTTAAAGCAGCTATACGTGATATTCCTAAATCAAAATCAATGTTTTTTTATTGTGAGGATCATTTTAATGAAAGTACGAATATGAATTACGATGATGAATATACGAATGATGAGGCAGACATAATATTCCTTCGATCGTAATCTGTGTTCTGGGCAAATTCTACCTTGTACAGTGCACAAAGAACCCGCGCGTTTCAATTCCACATATCCGATATTATCATATTGTTCTCGTGATGCCCAAAATACAAATTTAAGAGTTTATTTTACTTTTAAAGCAGCCATGTGTATAGGTTAGATTAAGTTGAATAAGTGAAATTCTATATATTATTTACCTAATTTCAATCAATACAGGCAGATTCGTATATTAAGGAGAGAATAACTAATAATGAATTTACGGATTTTTACTTACGCTGCTGCTTTGACACCCTTAAACTCGACTGAATTAAAGCGTTCGTCGTTTTTTAAAAATTCGATAACCATAAAAATATGTACACAAGGTAAATTGTTTGTTGGCGCTTTAAGGAATCCTTCTGAAGCCATTTTTTAGTTTAACACAAACTATAAATTATTTAAAGCCACAAAGTAATTAATGAAACAACCACACAAGTAAACACTATGCACAGAACGTAAACAATCCGCCATTTATATGACCAGAGACGTCACAACCAATAGGATTGCGTTTTAGGGATTCATGAATAATTTTAATTTTAGCTGAATTTGTTTATTAAATATTTAACAAAATAGCAATATTTATATATAATACATATGAAAACACCCTATTGGGCAAAAGGTTAGAAAATATGCTCAAACTTTTGCGAAAAACACAATTATTATGCATCTCAGCAACAATTCTGCATGTGGAGTTATGAATTGTTGATACCTAAAACACGATTTCGTGCATAAAATAGTGGTTTTGGAAAAACGAATTTCAAAAGCTTCTGAGTGGTTTTGGGCTTAATTTGTGGATGCAGGAATTTTTTCGCTGAAAGTGCTTAACTTGCAGTGTTTCTTTGAGTAAAAAAAGACAAAACTAGAAATTCGGAGGGACTCGAACGGAGCGCACGACTCAATCACCGTTAAGCCAACCTCAGGGAACTGAATAGGAAACAGAATGGTTTCAGTATAGTATAGTAAAAGCGATTTCAAAATTCTTAATACAAAACTTTTATTTAGTCATTATTATGAAGCAAAAGAGAACCACGATAAATCCAAGCACCGAAACAGTAGAGGTGTGATAAACGGTTATTTTTTCTGTAACGGGTTACAACGTTCCAGTTTCACTTTGTTAATAGGTTTCAAAAGGAACATGTTACTTTGAAAAATTTTTATTAAAAATGCAGAATGATGATAGAAATAGTGATGATATATAATGATTTCCTTTAATAAAAAAATAATTCTGAACATTCGCAATCTTAAAATAAAATATTCTAAAATTAAAAACAAAACATAGGGCTGAGGTAACTACTTAAATCACAAAAAAACTGGTAGTAATAAACCTAGAGTGATTAAATAAAATCTACGGTTTATATGCAAAAATGTTTAAAAATCTCATTCTCATTTAAAAATGAATTAACATTAAAGAATACATTTTTTTGCAAATGTTTTTTACTGATTCTAGTTCTTCGCGCGTTTATGATAGCACCCGCTTTAGAAAATAATTTATCGCTTTTCGTTTCACAGTAACATTAAGTAATCCACAATAACAAGAAAATGAAATGTGTGTTTGGCAAACCTGAACGAAGTATTACTCGACTTAATTTTAGTACCACCAAAAAAGAATTAAAAAAACATGTCGACCTTACAACGTTTATGACTATTCCAATAACTTTCATTTCATCTCTGACTGAATTTATATTTAAAAATTGCCAGCTTGTTTAAATGCAGGTCCGCATTCTGCTTAAAACGTTTGTTATTTTACATTTCAACTGTGATGGAATTTATGTCTTAGACTCATACTTTGCTCATAGCTCATATGCAAGTGCACATTCTGCTTAGTTTGCTGGTAATGAGCATATAACTCCCGAGTTATGTTTCTTGAGGAAAATCCGGGTTTTTTTTTAAGATTTATTACAGATTGTCCGAAAACTAAA